GCCGTGGAAAGTTTAGGCTAAACTTTGGGTAAATGTTTCTTGTGAGGTTTGAAAGGTGGATAACAGCTAACAATGAAATAAAGATCAGTTAATCCAAGAATGACCATGGCCTGACCTACGAAAAGTAAAAATATGTCCAATAAAAGTCATTCAATTGTTCATTCATGGATTTGACACCATTTATTAAATAATTTCTCTGTGGTAGTCAAGTGGAATCAATGGCTAAAGAGTGGTTTGAAGCTTCAGGATTCCATATCCAGAAAAAAAAAAAAAACCCTAAAAATATCTTGTATTTTTTTTAAGAAACAGAATAATAGGTTCCCTTTTTTTGGATGACCAGATGACCAGAATTTAAACCTTACATCATTTTCTCTTCCTATTTTGTACCATATTACTTTATATAAGGGTGTATTAAGGACAAGAGGCAAAGAACAAAGTTACTGAAAATCAAATAAAAATATCTGTACTTTCTTATGACTAAATTCTAAAAGATGTTGTACTGTTAAGCAATAGAGCTTAGTTTCAGTTCTACTTGGTTGTTTGGCTGAAAGAAGTCTTCATTAGGACAGCAGGCCACCACCAAGAAGCATACTTTGAAAGATCCCCTGCCTCCTCCAACTTGCTGACAGAACCATCTTTGGATCCATCTACCTGGATGATGGTTTCCCACCCTACAGAACCCCACTGCCCCTGTGCTGTCTCCAGCCTGGAGCTATCCCCAGTGTCCTTTGCTATTCTCTGAAGTCTATCAGTCTGAAGTAATGGGATCATAAAACACCCAATTGGCAAGATTTCTACACATTGAACCATTAAGTTGAAGACAAGTTCCTTGGCAAGCAATCGTTGACTGTAAAACTGTTACTCATTTCAAGTTTTCTCATTTATTTATTTATTTATTTATTTATTTATTTATTTATTTATATTTTTCTTCCTGTTTAGTTCTTTGGCTGGGACAGAACCCCTTGGAGATGTCAGCTCAGTAGCATACCTGATTTCCAATGCCTACCTGATGCTTCCCTTTACTCTAAGAAGAAGTCACACTTTGGGTGTTCATCAAATTATTTTTCCCCTCCATCCACCTCCATCTTCTGAGCTGACTCACTTCCCCTCACACCCCACCCCATAATCATTTTCTTCATTTACTTGGTCTCATTGAAATATATGGCAGCAATTTATTCAGTTACAGAGTTTGATTAAAACAGAATAAATTATTGTCAATTACCAGAGGCCAAGAGGATGGCTAAGCCTCTCTGAGCAGCCTGATCCAGAAAAAAGAAACCCGTGGGCTGCTGTGATGTGATTGGAGAAACCCTGGGTGAGGTCTCTTTGGCATCCTCACCCGCTGTCATAACTCAGAATCTCATTTTGGTCACTCCTTTCATGTAGTCACCAAGAGCATCCTTGGAGTCAGCAGGATCCTACTCTGCCCCCTTAGTCATGTGACCCTAACTAAGCCACTTACCATGCCAGAGCCTCAGTTTCCTTTTCTGGGGAAAAGAGATGATAAAACCCACCTCAAGGGCTGGTAGGATGATGCTATGAGATGCAGTATATAAAATACCAAGAACACTTCCGTATATGTTAGGTAACATTTTTCAGCAACAATATTACCTAGGAGTTGTAATATATCAAACTGCTAGATGTTCTACCAGCCCAAATCAGGGCTCTGATCAATTTGACCAAGAGCAGAAAGTTGAGGGAACTGTACAAAGTAAGTTCTTAGGAGCACATAGAAACACCAGTGATATTAACAGGGGCATGCTGGACTGAAACAAAAAATATGAAAATGTGTGGAATGCCCGTTTGACCACATGGAAGCTAAGAATGTGCTTGGAAGAATGTTAAAAAAAAATAACTATTTCACAATTGTGTAAGCTTTTGTACTTTTCCCTTCTACAGTAAATAATAGACTTGAATAGATAAGTAATAAATCCATTTCCATAAGGCTCTGCTGGGTTTCATGGTGGAATGGATATTCTGTGTTCACAATCTTGTTACAGACAAAGGAGTCTCACTGTTAGTTCACATACAAGGAGTTTCTTGATCTGGATTTGATCTTCTTTCCTGCCTTCCTCTCCTGCAAATCCCCCACATGAAGATGGGACAATAATCACACCAAGCTGTCTTGGGAAAGTAGTGATTTCTATATTATTTCACATTTCTCTGTCTGAGCATATGGAGGTTCTACCTACCTATACTACACTAAATTTAGCTAACTTCTTCTGGTCCTTCAAAACCTGTCACTTACTCCAGCCCATATCCACCACAGCTCTGGGCACATCTATACTTATATTTATTACCAAATTCATCGCACAATACATTTATTGCTAACTAACTAGCTTTTTCTTTCTCACTGTTCTGTGAGTTCCTCAAGGGCAGAGACTATAATGCCCTTGACTTTCTCTGCACAGCAGACTGCTTGACTGGCAAACACCAGGCACACAGTAAACAAGTGATGCATGAGTAAATATCAGATGGACTAGTAAGTACAGTTGCTTCTATAACAAAGTATTTTCCAGATTCATGTATAACAGGCTGTGATGTCCTGAGACAAATGAGTGAAATCCAGAAGAGTTAAATCAGGAATTTCAGCCTCTTCTCCTTCTCCTTCTCAGCCTCTTCTCTCATCCTTCGTAAGAATGACAGAAAGAACTCCCTGATTTCGCCTGAATTTTGCCTTGAAATGATCAACATGTTATTCTCATCACAGTGAAGTAGACATCTTTACAAAAGGAAGTTCAGATCATTTCTCTTGGTCCTTGTAATGTGGGTTGTTGAACAAAATTTATATCTAAAATTAAATGTTCCTGCCCCTAATAAAGCTCACTTGCCACAGAAATTGGCAGATAATGGAGTTTTTCCCTGACTGTAAAGGAACTAGAAAGCGTTATGAAATATGCAATAACCTTTATGTTGATAAAGGTATGATGGTGCTAGAGTTGACAGAAAGGACATTTTGAAACACTCCTCTAAGTACAGCTTAGATGATCAAGTCAAGTCAACATATTAAGGGTTCAAAGCTTAGTGAACTAGTGAGTGGGTCAATGGAGGAAGAGGCTGGAATCTGAGTAAAAGATGGTCAGTGGAAAGTCCCAGAGAAGACAGTGTGGAAGCTCATCAACATGGTGGCCTATTTTCCACTTTTAAGTAATGTGATGTCATTCTCCCCCACTGCCCCTAATTGCTGAATAAATTAAGCCCAGCCCTGGTTGGTTGTTCCCTAGGAAGAAAAGACACTGAGGTGGTATTCAGTATGGAAATGGCCACATCACAGGGAATAAAACAGTGAGCAAAAATGAAGAATTCAGCCAAAAGGGAGTGAAGGTAATTAGGAGAAACACTTCCCCTTCCCTTTATATTCTACTGCCCCATATCAACTTCCCTGATTATACATAATGAAATAAAGGTGTTTCCATTCAGGTCTATACATCTATAATTTTCTGATATCAAGAATAGAGAAGAGGAATTAATGAATCATACACAAAAAAAGTGAATCTAATCTAAGCTGCAGGTCATTTTAAATACAGTTTCCTGGCAACAAAACCATTTAACTTCTGCATACATATCTCTCAAGCTTGTAGGAACAATTTTGTGGTCACCCCTCCTCCTTCAATGTCCTCTAAATTCAACTATTGAGCTAACTACCACTGAGTTTCTACAAGGAATAGATCTTGAGGGATATAATATTAAAAGAGACACAGTCCCCATCCAAAATATGAGTTATATTTTATTGCATTCCTCCATGATGTTATGAAAGAAAGCACTTCAGGGTAAAGTGGAGGCCCAAATAATGGAGAAGTCCAAACTACCTCCAGTCAACTTTGTCTGATTTTACCCATATACAATCAGGTAAGGCATCCAGGTAACTTGTCTTGGAGCCCAAGCAGCCCTACAACATTCTGAAGAGGTGGCCCATCTAGTAGAACCCAGTGGAGGCAAGTGTTTGCTCTTTTCCTCATTGAATTGAGAGTTTGACTCTACCTTAAATTTCATTCAAAACATCCCCTGCTGTTATCAATTTAAACAGTGAAGAAAATGTACTTAAAAGAAAATTCAAGTGGGTTGAGAGCAGCTTGACATAGGAATTTTTAATTATAATTGAGCAGAATTTCATGAAGCAAGCAAAATTACAAAGCTAAAACTGAAGAATGCCTTGAATTTAGTGAAAACAAAAGCAGGTTTGGAAATGTTCTGTGCATATTTTTATAATACAGTGAAAACAAGGCAGTTCACCTGGAGGACAAAGGGAAAGTAGATGTTATGGATATTAAAACCAAAAACTAAGCTTTATCTTATGAAATCAACATGATGTGAAGAGCAAGAATGACCCTCGTCCCAGCCATAACTGAGTTCAAGTTCTGGATCTGTCACCCAATACATGTGTATAACTTTGGAAAAATTATTTAACTTCTCTGTAAACTGTATTCCTCAATCTTAAGATGCAAAAGTGGGAAAATTATAAGGAATTAATAAGTTTTTTGTGAAGACTAAGTAGATGTTCATTCCAATTTTAGTATATGTGCTGCTGAAGTGAGCACATAAGTAGATGTTCAGTAAATATAAATTTTCTTTGCTATATTTTTATTCCATGATAAGGTAGCCTGGTGACTGAAACATCAGTGGGAAAATGGGAGAATGAAGATATGGTCTGTACAATTGCACATCCTTATCTCCCACACTCTCTCCCAGAACCTATAGTCCACACATTACAGAAACACCAAGTCACAAAGCTTAATACTACATTTCATTCTATTGTACAAAATGGAATGTTCAGACTATAAGGAGGTTTTGATGTGACAATGTATTTTATGTTATAAACCTCAGTGATATCCCTAAAAGTACTAGAACTGGCAATTTGCAAAGTTAAAAACAATCATAATCATTAGGGAGACCTAGTTCATAACTGAATTTCTCATCCATGTCTTTTTCTTTTGGGGAAATTTTATGCATCAATTAATGTGCTTCCCCCACAACTGCAGAAAGATCATGATCACCATTACCATTCATCCTTGTCAGCATCACAATTGCAGAAGTGTTGAACGTCCAGGCAACTCTCATCCAGGCCACATTCACACTGCTGAACCCCAGGTGGGGCACCTCCCCAGTAAGGGTGCCTTTCATTGGACCGCCCAATCCACCAGGTATATGGTGTTCCATCTGAAAGACAAGAGAGTTTGCAGAGGGTGTCAAAAGCTTACATGGAAATGTTTTGAAGAATAAGTATATATTTACACATATTACACATATATATCTATATACATATATCTCTATATATACAATATGTATGTATACATACACATATCTGTATATATCCTCCCTCTCTCATTTCTTCTCTTCTTTTCTTTCTTCCTTTCTTTCCTTCTTCCTTTCTCTCTTTCTCCCTGTATATGGATCTATCTATATCATCTATATCTATCTCTATATATACATATTTACAAATCTCTCTCTACCTATATATATCCATATACACATCTATATCTATATCCATATCTATAGACATATATAAATACAGACATAACACTTTCATGAAAAATATTCACACAGTAGGACGTGGATCAATCACAATGTTCAGAGGCAGGGTTGCAAACTAAAATCAGACAGGTACCATAGTTAAGTAAATTGGGCCAGATTGAAGACCAAAGATTTTTAAGATACAGATACAAAAATTAATTTCATTATAAAACTATCAAAGGAAAAACAACAGCATGAGGGCCAAGATTGCCCTGACATTAGTTCTCAGTTTCTGATAGACTCTGAGGACAAGTATTTCAAATTCAAAGATTTTAAGGAAAAAAAACGAAACCTGTTGAAGATCAGTACTACATGGGCCAAATAATTCCTTCTGAAGGTCATATTTAACCCATAGGAAGTTGATATATAAACTCCAATTTCTGGTTTATGTAGTTGACAGAAAACTACTTTGGAGTCCGTCAATTTCTTTCTTCCTTTTTTTTTCAAAGCTTAGTTTAGTAAAATCAGTTGGAGTTTTCTTTTATGATAGAGAATATTTCAGTAGATTAAAGTTATTACTGAGAAGATGATAGTGTATCCAAGCAACAGGTTATAGGCAGAGTTGGAGGTATTATACATCATCAGCCTGCACAGAGTTAGGTCCAGGTCCCTTTGGAAATTGTTGTTTTGTTTCTGTTTGGCATACAACAGGCACTTAACGTGATTATTTAAAAAATGAAAGAAATGCTTATTAGGGGCCACTTTTTAACGATGTACCATTTTAAAGTAGAATAATACTTGTCTGATGATGTTACTAGGTTGGAATTTTTCTAAGTCAAGATTTAATTGTACATACAACTCCTGATTTACAAACACATAATTTACAAATTATTTGTGTATGCACAGTTAGCAACAACTTTCTCCACCCTGCTCTCACTGCTAATATCCTTATGGAAGTCACTGAGGCAAGTAGGAAGAGAAATGACAATCTGGAGCTTCCAAGAATCAGTAGGTCATGAGGAAAAGATCAGGAAGATACTGTGAAAAGCAAAAGTATCTTAGGTTACTGAGTTAGAGGGAGGACAGCCTGAAGGACCATATTCACCCCAAAATAACACACCTGATTCTGCCTAAAATGTTCCAAGCCCCTTTATTATCTTTTAAACTAGAATTCTAGTTAGCAATGTCTGTTAACCAGACTCTTCTTTTTAAATACTAATTCTCAATGGTATAAATCCATTTTCCCTAGTTTCAAACAGCTATAAATCATGGAACAATAGTTCAAATGAATTGTTTTATTTCTAAATTCTAGCCTAGATAAGCCACACTCATGTAGCCTAGAGAGCTGGTGGGTCTATTTAGGGCACAGATCACTACTTTTGGGAGTGGAATAAGCTTAGATCAATTTTCTCACTGTGTGGGTCCAGGGAACACAAGGGTAAAATATTGTATATATGAATATGTTTACCAATGTTGGCTTTCAGTCCAAAAGAAGGGGAAGAAATCTCCCCACCTCTCCCTCCTTCTGGCACTGTTCAGGCCTCTCCCCAATAATCTTGAATCCAGATCACATAGTAATGTTCAATGTCATCATGGGTTATTTTTGTTTATGAGCTAAGCCAAGGTTGTAATCAATTAATAGCATCATTACTAATGGTATGATTTCTGAACAACAAATTTATGCACAGGTTCTGCTGTCTATGTTGCTTTCTAGGGGTTTTACCAATTCTCACTTGGTATCTTAAGCCCCTAGAAGTTTCACAGCAGCCAGAGGCTTTGTTTTGTTTCAAATCCATCAGTGTCTTGTAGAACTGAGGCTTGGGGTCCCCTCCTCATTTCTGGAAATTAGTATAAAGGTTTTAAATTGTGTTAACTGAATGCATGTCAATGAGTAAGAAGAAAGGAAGGGAAAAGAGGGGAAAAATACACACACACACAGATATTTGAAAGCAGAAGAATCTTTGTTAAATTTTCCTCTCAGATGTCCCACCTTTGTGTTTGTTTTCCTTTGAAGCATAACAAACAAGGAAACTGAAGATCGAAAAGGATGGGACTTGCCCTGATTCATGACTCCAATGATATGGTCAAGAAGGGAATCTACACCTCTGCTGCACATTTCAACCACTGGAGAAATTGGATTTATTTTCTTCTGACCAGGTGTTTAAAAAAAGTGAAGGAACAAAGCACGATTATAAATATATAGACATAACTCAATATGCATTCATTCAACAAATATTTACTGAAGATCTATATTATTCTAGGAAATATTCTAGGTACTTGGGATAAATCAGTTTAAGACAAACCAAACCAACCAAGCAAAGAAAACATGCCCCAAAATCTTACATTGTAATTAGAGGAAACAAACAATAATAAATAATTTCCTATATTTTTATTTATTTATTTGAAAAAGAGAAAGAAGGAGGGAGATGGAGAGGAGCAGAGAGAGAAGGAGAGAGAGAATCTTAAGCAGGCTGCATGCCCAGTGCTTAGTCTGACACGGGGTTTGATCTCATGATCCTGTGATCATGACCTGAGCTGAAATCAAGAGTTGGATGCATAACTGACTGAGGCACTCAGGCACCCCAATAATAATTTTGTATTAAGAAAGGAACAGGAGGTATGGAAACAATACAAAAAACCAAGGTAAGGTAGGCTGCAAAAAGGGTGGGCTGCAATTTTAGAGTGGTCAGGATAGAAACTGATTAAAAAAAAATAAACTTTGAGCAGAACTTCAAAGAGGAACAAGTGACACATGACTGGCCATCTGGATGATAGCACAGGAAACAAAGGAAACTTTCAATGTAAAGGATCAGTGAATGTAGGATCAAAGTAAAATAAAGGAATTTCCTAAAATCTATCACCAGATTTTTAAACTATGATTTTCAAAATTTTGAGGAAACTCTAATTGGAAGTTTCAATTAAAAAAAAAAGTAGCAGGAAATGGGCAAAATAGAACATATATTGATCAAGTTCTTGGCTACAGGCTAAGAATTCTTTCTGATAGTTTCAAGCCAAAGGGTATTTATTAAGAAGATATCAGGCAGCCACAGAACCATGACCAGGGAAGAAATGGGCTTTTGGCAATGGGCTCACCAGGTTGTTCACCGGCCTGAGGAGGAAACTCTGCCTGGCTCACTGCCCTTGAAAGTCAAATATTGGAGACCGACTCAGCCAAAGATGTTACGCTGCCAGCACCACAACCACTCCTCTCTAAGGATCTCAGGTCAATAGGTCCCATCCCCCCAAAGAGAGAAGTTTCTGTGGCCCCTGATTCTAACCCTCAGAATAGAAGCTCCATGCAGAGCCTGCTTCCCAGCACTCACCTCCAGTCAGAGCTGCATACAGGGGTCTGATAAGGGAAGCACAGGTGACATGCCTGCATCCCAGCTGGAAAAGAGCCTGGGGAAGTGAATTCTGACTTGCTGCAGAGGCAGGACTCACAATGTGAATTTTCACTAACACAGAAATGCTATTCAAAAGATATGGGGCAGGTATGAATAAGACAATTGGTGGGATGCCTGGGTGGCTTGGTCGGTTAAGCGTCTGCTTTTGGCTCAGATCATGATCCCAGAGTCCTGGGATTGAGTCCTGGTACTGGGCTCTCTGCTCAGCGGGAAGCCTGCTTCTCCCTCTGCCTGCCCCTATCCTTGCTGTGCTCTCCCTCTCTCTCTGACAAAAAAAAAAGACAAATGGCTCTCCTGGAGCTAAACACACAATTAAGTGTCGTTTAATGGATCAGAACTCTAAACTGATAGGGACAGAGTTTATGCACTCCAGAAAGGAAGGTCCGTACACTGCTTTGTGCTTCTGGGGCCAGAAGGGTTTTAGGGTCAAATTCTTGTCAAAGAAGCAGTGTTTTCCTGCACATCACCCGCTACAGGGGACTTCTACAAGAAAACCTAGGAGAAGAATGTGGGAAGACTGAGTCCCCCCTGGAGTATGGCACCACGAGGAACTCGGCAGTAGATACAGAGGCCTCAGAGAGGTATGTGCAGGATTTAGAAAAAATCACTAAGAAATTTCATTCATTTGCATTACTTCTATGCATTTGGGATTATTATTGTTATGTAACTTCATGTACACCACAAGGTCTGGGAAAATTCATCATACATAAACATATATATATATATAGAGAGAGAGAGAGAGAGAGAGAACAAAAAACCCTCCTAAGAAAGTTTATGGCTTAGAGTGAATGACCTCAGTGTGTGTCAGTAAGTGAGCACAGAAGGTGATCACTCACCTTTTGTTAATACCAAATAGAATATCACCAAACCAAGATCAATCATTTGTCATGAGTCTTATAAAAATCACAATAGGACACCTTACTGAGCATGTGCTAGGTTACAGGCAGTATTTTGATGTGCTCTACATATATTAACCCATTTAAACATCACTGGTCTCTAGGAAGTAGGTATTATTATCCTTCACTTCACAGGTAAAGGGACTGAGGCAGAGAAGGTTTAAATGACTCTCTTGGGGCCATACAATTAGAAAGTTCAGTCAGGACTTGAATCCAAGCAGTCTTGTCCAAGAGTCTATGGGTTTAATCCCAATGTTATGCCACTGTGCTCTGACATGTGGGGAAATAATTCATGGTTAAAAAAAACTTAGGGCCTTTCAACAAAATACATACAGATGGATTTAAGTGATAATTAAGAAAATTGCAAGTGATGGATAATATCTTACAATCACTAAAATAAAGACAA